TCCTTCCCAATTTTGTCCGGAGGCAATTAAAACATGATTTAATTTTGAAAAAGAAAAAAAGTTAAAAGGGGGTCTTTACAAGTTTTTAATTCCGTTGAACTATATATTTAAATGTATTTTTGTTGATTAGAATATTCTTTCCAAAAATATGTCTATTATTAAGGGAGTTTTTAATCTACTTTAAATTTGAATAAGTTGAGAAATTAAACAAGAAAAATATATATAGGTTTTGGCGTGCTTTTAATTTTTTATTTTTTAGTTTGATGTAGGTACTTTTATGGCCGGTTTTTCAACATTTTTTTTATGAATATATTTTGTGGTTGTGGCAAATTTTCTAACATAATTTCAAAGTACAATATATTTTGTAGTTTTATCTATTTTTTTCGATACGAGTGAGAAAAGAATTTGAACTTCTAAGAAATTATAAATAAATTATGAATATGACGATCTCTTTATCTTTTTATTATCTTATATTAAAGTTTGCATTTATATTTATCTCATATATATAATATTATAGTCCAATTTGACCTTTGATGAGTCACCTTTGGAACCTAATTTTGGATAAGAGATTGGGCAAGTAAAAAAGAATACAACTTGACAACTATTTTCAGACAATACAAAAATTGGTAGGAATAAATAATGCGAATATTTGTAATAAAAAATTTGAAATAAATGAAGCTGCCCTCAAATCAAATATACGCTGACCGCACATGTCAATTTTTGTATATTAAATGCAACACAAATTGACTAATTCCTTAACCACTCCATTTTTAAAACCTTTTTTTTTTTTTCAACTTTCCACGCTATTTATCTTTTATTTTATTGTATTATTAATATTATATCCAAGGGCAAAAAAGTCATATTTTCATATTGACGGCATGGGATCGAATTTGGAATTCATTGACTAACACTTCCTTATAATTGAGATGAGTGCATTTATCAATTGGGGTATGGTTAGATTGATGAGAGGCATATTATAATTCTTGGTAGATAATTCAATCCGAGATGTAACAATTGTTTAACTCAAAAAAGGAAAAAAAATATAAAGAACTCTGAGAAAATAGCAAGATGTTTTAACTTGAACTACCAAGTTAAACTTGTGTCGGTAAATAAGTAAATATATACAAATATATATAGGGTAAGTTTTCTCAAATGAATAAAAATAATGTATGTATACTAATTATACTAAGTAATTTTTAATCAGTTGAGAGGTGCAAAGATTTTCAAACTCCAACACTCAGTAAACCACCACTATTTAGTATATAATATAAAGTATTTTAAAGCTGAAGGATGTTCGAGTCCTCCTGGCATACTGTGATCCGTTCCAATTTGCGAAGAAAAATATGTAGTCTAMTATTTGTATTTTTTTAGTTCTATCTACTTGCTTTCTTATCTCGTCAAGTTGGATTTTATTGGTGTAGGTTTGAATAATTTTCCCTCCTTATTAAATTATAATTCTAGCTAAAAAGAAAGTTTGATTTTTTTTATTTTTTATTTTTTTTGTTTTTTGCAAAGGAAAGAARGTTTGATTATTGGTTGTTTGGATTTTGTTTTTAAATTTAAAAGATCTCCATTGTGGKTTGTCACCCGAATTTGAGTTAATTATGGGAAAAGCGTCAGACAAATTTTTGTGTCAAATTACATATTTTCTTTCTGTTCAGTTTTTTAATTTTGGTTCAAATATCAATTATATCTTTAAACTTTGAAATATACTTATTTATAATCTTTATCATAKGTTGATGTCAATCAAAAGCTTAATTAAACTGATGAGTTCGATAAATTTAATTCATTTAAATGAATTATCAACATCATAAAACACTCCATTAAATTTTAAAATTAAGTAACATAATGATCAACATGTTGATAATCAATCAATTCAAATTAATTAAAAAATAACTAGATCTAGTCATTGTGTTTTCTTTATTTTACAATAAAATATRTAGATGAAAACTCRAATCCACGACCTTTTAATCAAAGATATATACATACTCAAGTTGACGATCAAGAAATTATGTGTTAATGATAAGGAATTACCAAAACTTTTTAGAGTTCAGAAATAAAAAAGGCACACATGGATTTTTTTTTCACTGAATAAAAAAAAATATTATTATTATTTTTTATATACTTTGGATAAAAATGGAAACTTCTGTCTGCTGCCAAACACACCATATGTAGAATCTCCTAACATAGTGATAGCTAAATCATTGATTAGTTAACTTTTTATGTGTAGCTCTTTTTCTCACCTACTCCCACTTTAAATACCACGTGATTGTCACGTGCTAATGGATCCCCACAATTTTATTTTACTCATTGGCATAATTTTAATTTTAATTTTAATTTTTAATATAATTTATAAAAATATTGTTTATTATTTATATAACATTGTTATTCATAATTTCATAATTTTACGAAAAAAAAAACTTCCATTATTAGGCTAAATAATGGAAGTTTAGCCTTATATGTTAATATTTTTTAGTCCGTATGATTTGAGTGTTTTAGTTTTTTTCTTTTGTTTAAAAAGTCTTATATGTTAATATTTTTCAATTAAACACTCCCATKGATGAATATATATGCTAAAGTTGGCTAATGGTACATGACCCCATAAAATTTTGTCTTTTCTTTCCTAAATTTATGACCAAATACATTAACTATCATGTTATWCAAGTTTATCATCGATCATTTTTAATATTCACTGAAAAATTATAGTTGAAAAATGTTAAAACATTAGATAATGAAACTTTGATTTCTGGTTTTTAGCCCATTTGAACAACATTTCCTATCTTGAGTCCTAGGTTAAAATCATTTACTCACATATATGTAATGTATTAATTATATTCTATTTAAATAAAATTAAAATTTTGAATCATTTTTTGTGGTGCAAAACATCTAAATCAATTTTACTTTGATACGATGGATTGAATCAAGACTTTATCATCTACTATATTCATTCTTTAATTAATTTGTACATTGGCGGCCGATGTTTGTTTCACCATTGAGATAGATTTTTGGAAAATTAAACTAATAATTGTCCTTTTTTTTGGGGGGGGTTCTTTTCATTATTGCATGTGGGTTGCAAGAATAATAGTCAAATACAATTATACGAATATAGTGCAAATCATATTATATATATGGATCTCACCTAACTTAAATAAACTTGTCTGGCAACCTAATTAAATCTAAGTGGACAGATTAGTAAAACAAAATTCATTTTGTGATTACTTCAATTAAAACTTAATTATAAAAAAATTGTCGGAATCATTATATATATAATATTAMTAAYTTCAGGGAGAAGGAAAAGGAAAGATATGTGGGCACCATGTACGATATATATTGAAGTTGATGGTTAATTAAATTAGAGGAAGTAGGAGGGGAAATAAAAAGATAAAGAGTAGTTGAAATAAAGCAAACCAAAAGTGAAGAAATTTATGTTTCACAAAAAAAAAAAAGTGAAGAAGAGATTTTTGACGTATTTAAAAAAAAATAATTTAATCTTAATTCTTAAAATGTATTGGGAAAAACAGGATACTTTTAATAAATAAAAAGATAAATCGCCCCTTTAAAAAATAACTTTAGATGAATAACTTCTCTATGAGTACATTGTCTTTCTAAAACAATAATAAACCTAAAATCATCTTARAGTTATCTTGATGACAATTCTTTTTTCTTTTATTTTTGTTGTTAAATTATAAACTTAATTAGTCCATGGACTTTGAGTATTTTATTTAAACAATATATTTGAGCCAAGTTTGACGGTTTTTTTTGAGGTGATGCTCAACTCCCAGACTTCTCACAAGAGGTAGAACTTGTGATTTGCATGATAAATAATGGGTGGCGCTAAGCTTGATGGATATCAACTTGAACATTGGTGGAATGATTGTATCGRGAGTTTTGTTTCTAATTTGGTCATGTGAATAGAAAATAGAGATGAATTAAGTTCAACTTTCCATAATTTATTGTAGAGCTCTAATACCATGTAGTTGGATAGATTTAATTCATATAAAGATATTTCAACACAAATTACGCTTCTATTTAATCTTTGACAATGGTATGCTCGTTAATTTAGACTACATCAACATTTCCATTTATTTTTATACAATGAGTAAAGGGTGAGGTAAGAATTCAAACATTCAATCTACAAGATCGATAACTAGATCAAGATACTCTCTCAAATGGACTATTCCACTCATGATGGCGCTAATGATATCAATATACACTAAATAGAAGTATATATAATAATCTAATAATTAAACTTTTATAAAGTATAGAGATTAACACAAGTACTCAGAAACAAAAACCAGTTGAAATCTGAAAAGAAAAAGAAATAAGTGGAAATTTTGGAACAGTGTCGCCCACAGAAAATCAAGTACAAGTAAACGCCAAGCCATGCAAAGATGTGTGAACGCAACCAGACAGGTTGGATTGGACCACCCCATTATTATATTATATTCAAATCTTGTAAATTCGATGCAGAATAGTCAAGCCGCCGGGTCCCACTCCCATCAAATTTCACCAAATTTCATTTGCTTTGGTTCATCCATCTTTCACATTATTTATCCAACCTTATAAATTATGTAATTAAGTGGGTTAATTAGATATGATTAGTAGCAGTGTTTGGTGAATTTTATAGAAAATAATGCCAACTTTTGAGCTCCTTGTCGGCTTAGCAGCCCCAATGGAGAAAAAAATCTCACAACTTTAATGTAAGACATTAAAAATCATATATGAAAAGGGTAAAAGAGCCCAGTGGAGGGTCTCATTAGTCCAAACATGATGACAACACATTATTATTATTATTATTATTAATATTTTAACCAGCCTTTGTCTTGTACCGACAATAATATGTGTGTGTGTCTATGATTTTCATGTCTATTATTAATGATAATAAAGAATACTTTATTTGTTTTTAGGTGAGTAATTAAATTTTAACCAAGATACTGGTTTTATGAGTGAGTGAAGTGGGTGGAGAGGGCCAAAGCTATATAAAGGGGAGGAGAGGTGTGATTAAAAGGCAGAATTGGAACCCAATCCAAATCCAATCCATCAGAAGGATGGGAAAAATGGGATCTTCAGCGGCTTCCCTTCTTTTTGCTGCTTTGGTTGCTCTCCTCTCCCTAAACTTGCCTTCAACAGCCACTGCTAACTACGTCTACGCCTCGCCTCCCCCTCCCAAGTCGCCCTACTACCCGCCTCCCGTCTACCACTCTCCGTCCCCACCTAAATCACCTTACTATCCACCT